CAAGTGAGTTCGACAGAGAATAAGGCAAAACACAAGTATCAGCAGTAGGGGGGTGGAACAGCCAGGGGAAATGGAAAAAAAGAAGGTAAGAACTAATGGAGAAAAATTTGTACTGCACCACGGGCAGTAAGCATCTGTGACTGAATAGAACAGACAGAGCATGAGAGTCAATGGATCGGAGCCCAGGTCCTACAGTGTCTGTGTGCTGCAGGTGAGGTTAGAATTAGAGACCTCACAATGACAGAGACACAGACAGATCATGGCAGAGGGCCAGGTTCACAGTAGGAGTCTCCCAAATGAAGAGCTATTATTATTACTAGTCACAGACTATGCATTGCAAAGGGCAACATGGTACTTATAATTTTAGATACCACCTACTTTGCTGAGAAGACAATGACAATAACAATACAGAGAGAGTTACAAATGTCCTTTATCTTATCAGTCTACAGAGCTGATGCTTCCTAGTTTATGAAGTGCAACCAGAAGCAATTTCCCAGTGACGAACACAATCTGAACACAGAGATGCACATTTCTGGAGATAAAGTATCTTCCACAATTTGTTATTTATCTTGGTCTCTTGCTGATTAAAAGGTCTTGTGTATGTCATCAGCTCTGCTTATGAATAGCCAGGCAGGATGGGTCGGCTTCAGGCAAGCCACTGTGAAAACAACTGTACCTAAGGGAAAACAACAGGTCCAAGAGGTCCCAGAAGCAATGTATGGCCTCACCTTCAATGATGAGGGATGCTAAATGTTAGCAGACGCTCAACGATGTGAAATATGGCACTTCTACAAATAAAGACCAGGGCTATGTTTACCATGTCAAACTCCAACTGTTTTATAGATCAGGAGTGTTTAGTGCCTTTGTAAATTCCTTCAAGTCAGTGATGGGTACCTCTTCAACAGTTTACAATTGTTGTAGTGTCAGGGACAGCCCTGATCAACATAGTATCAAGCCAAGGAGGGGCCAGCCAGACTATCCTCTTGTCTTTCAATGGCTCTGGCTTGCATGGAATGATGAGCTCCTGGGAGCAGAGCCCAGAGAAGCAGGAGGAAAGGCAGGGTGGCACACAGGACCTCAGAAACCCAGCGCTGCAGATGAGTGATGTCTCTCCTGACAGCAGCCACATCGCAAACAACAAGCACCATTAACTGGCACGTTTATCTTCAGAGAAAAGCCAACCACTCTAGAGCAACAGTCTGAGATGCTGTCAGGCCACAAAGGCTGAGGCTATCTGTGGAGGAGAGGTGACTCAGAGATGTGATTAGGAGGCTCTGGGAATGGGTACGAGGCTCTTGGCTCCCTGGGGTCTGCACTGCTTTCCTTTGGGCTCCATGTGCCAGTCATGAATCAGTACAGTCCTTACTGGTCACCTGTGGTCCATCTTCAGTGCAAGCCACAGAGCAGCCTTTTATTCTGACACTTCATGCACTGAAGTTTTTCTGAAAGGCTAAGTGGCCAAGAATCAAAACCATGTAACAACTTTTTCCATTTGTTTATTCATTTGTTTAACAAATATCAGCCAACAGTCCAGGGACCAAGCCTGGGGTGGACTGGTCACTAAGGCAGATACAGCACCTGATTCACCAACTGAGATTCTCATAGGACAAGCATCCCAGCGGTAGGCATGGGACAGGCTAGAGAGGAGCTTCAGGAGCAGGGCAGCTCCTGAAGGGCAGCAGGGCTACTCGGGACATAGAGTGCTGCATGGTCAGAGCAGACTGAGCAGCAGTTGGATGGAAAAAGAGAGAAATGGAAGAAGCAGTGTGCCCAGGAACAGGAAGTCTCGAGGTGTGGCAGGAAGTATGTGTGGATGAAGCCGTGAGGGGAGAGGGGCTGGGAACATGAGCAGAATTAGGGGCCAGGGAGACAGGAACATTACTTGAATCTGAAGAATAGAGAAGTGATTGTGCTCATGCTCACTTCAAACCCATTTACTTAAAGGTGGTTTTTCCTGTTGTTGGTGGCTTTTTTGTTTTTATTTTTTTGAAAAAGAATCTCACTGTGTAGCTCAGGCTGGCCTCAAACTCACAGTGATACTTCTGCCTCAGCCTCCCAAGTGCTGGGATTACAGACATGTGCCATCACATCATTCTCCCTTTGAAGGTGGTTTTTCATAGAAATATAAATATCTAAAGGGAAATGAGACAAATGTTCTATGAAAATTATATAATAATTTTAGAGATCTCAATAATCATTAAAATTCTATTGTGCATATCATGAATTACTTGAAAATTATGGTCATGATACTAATCTTTAAGATATGCCTTATATCATTCTTATTCAAGAAATAAAAGTTCATTATTAACTAAGATCATAAATTCAGCAGTCAAAATTAAGAAGAAATTCCATTTATCCTTACTTTCAAAGGTCTGTTTCTGTAATACTATGCTCATTAATTATGCACAGTGTGGGAGTAAGCAAGACCTCCTTTAACCATGACAGAGGTCCTTGCTAACTGGAGAGTTTAACCAAGCTCCTAACCTTATTCTGAGGCTGTATCCTCTGATGAGATCCACGTCACCATGGGGATGTGTGACAGCAAGCTGAAAAGGGAATCAGACCCTGAGAGATTCTGTGACTTTCCTGGGCCACACAGCTAGCAGAGAAGCCTAAGACTTCATACCAGAACTTTGGACTCCTCCTGTATCTGCTGCTCTTTCCTCTCCTCATTGTTTGGCAGTCATTTTCTACGGTAAATGCAATTAAATTACTACAAAGATGGAATTTTTTCAATGTGGAAAAAAAGAGTTCTTGAATAAAGGGGGGGAAGTGAAGAATAAAAATAACAAACAAAAAGAGCACTGTAGAAACATGTTAAACTAGTGAATTATATCTCAACTTAATAAAAATTAAAAAATAAAAACAGCAGTGTTTAAGAAGTGAGTACAGTACTGAGAAGTGGTAAGATTTGAGGATGTTAAAAATTTTATTGCTTCATCCCCTTTTCTGTATAATAAGACTGCTGTGAACTGCACTGTCACTGTCAAGGAACCAGGATAAGGTGATTTTCAAATGGTAAAGTCCATCACGATGCACATGACAAGAACACTCATCATGCTGGGAACTGCATAACCCAAGCTGGGAACTACCAAGCTGGGAAAGAGGTGCTTTTCCCTTCATTTCTAATGACCCTAAGCCTTCTAAAATGTGTAAGAAGTTTACCCCCCGCTAGCAAGCACTACCCCATGAGGTTGCCCTTCTCAAAACACACATTTAGCAGCAGGAAGTGTCCCAGAATCTATGGCTGAGAGTAACTTGGTTCCCTGCAGCACAGGTACAACACAGGCAGGAGGACTCATTCTCCGAAGCCAGGGCTTCCGGTCCTATACACCATGTTGGCTGAGGCTGTGCTCTACCAGTCACAGGAGCCAAAGACTCAAACACAGATGGCCGGAATGACCCAAGCCTGCCACAGAACCCCAAGTCTCTTCATGTTAAACCAACCTTAAACCATACCTCTTCTGCATTTTCCTCCCTTTTTATGAAGAATGTGTAAGATGGATTATTATTCATGTCCCTTTTTGATGGGGTCACATTTCCAAATTCCCAATGTACTAATTTCATACAAACAGAACATCAATACTAATAGTTTTATGCAACCAGGCACAAACATGATTTCTTCCTACTGTTTTTAAAAGACCAAGGTAATTTTTGTCCCAATTCCTACAGAATGGTAAGCTTAAAATCAAGTCAGTTAGCTCCGTCAGGTCCAATAAATCAGAGGAAAAAAATAAATGGGAAAGCACGCCAACACATAACCATGGTAACACCACAGATGCATCAAGAGATGGTACACTCGTGTGCTTCACCCCATCTCTCAAACTGCAATATAAAGGGGGGCAATATTGCACAGAGAACAATCATGAGTCTGCAGTTTCTGCACAGTGCATTCAACCAGCTGTATTATACCCCCAGCAGCAGACCTGGACGCAGCTCAAAACATGCAAGAAGACTTTGATCTCTACGTACTGGTTATTCAATTTGCTTATCTGGATAATGGATGCTAAAGATCACCATCTCCAAGTAACAAATTTCAAGTAATAAACTCAAGATCAAAGCCAGACATGGTAGCATATGCCTGTAATCTCAGTACTCAAGAGGCTGAGCCAGGAAGACCGCTGAGTCCAAGGTCAGCCTGGCTATGCAGTAAATTAAAGCCCAGCCTAAACTACATAGCGAGACCCTGTCTGAAAGACAACCAACCAACCAAACAAACAAACACACACCAGGATCATTTTTTCTTCTTCAAACAACCCCATGTACTTCCAAGATTTATATCCTATGATTGGCTGGCAGGGAGCATGGTGTGGTAGAACATGATACTTCAATGTAATCAAGCTGATACTTTGTCTGTAGACAGACAGACAGACAGACTGTCTGGCTGCCTTCCTGTCTTCACACAAAAACTGCATTCAGAGTTCTCATACTCTGTGTCTCGCTTTGTCAGATTTGGTTTTACCCATCAAGTCCTTTACTCTGTAGAAATCATGTCTTCAAATAATCCTGATTTATGAATTTATCAACTGGGCAGAAGGCAGGAGAAGCTTGGAGAGGGCACTGAGGCATCTACTTCATAGGTGGCCAGTAAAGACCCACTGTCTCCACACAGCTCAGGCAAAGGCACTCTGGCCTGGTTCAGTCCATGAATAGCAGTGATGGGGGCCTTACGTGCACTGCCCATAAGAGTGCATCCTCTGCACTGCCTGTAGGGGTGCTAACAGGCCAGGACTACTTCACATCCTTGCTGACTAGACTGATGAGCAGTACAAAGGGTCATTTGCCTACCACAGCAAATTCAGAAGTGGTAGAGCCAAACTGACATCCAGGCACCATGACACTGCTCTCTTTGTCCACTGCCAGTTGCAATTTGCATGACTTCTGGCATCATTACACAGACAAGCCACCAAGTCCTCCAGAGCCAGATGCCGAGCTCTCCCTTCACCCCAGCCCTTTTCACACACTGACAAAGCTGCAAGACGCCAAGGCCGGCTACTCACAAGGCACAGCATGGCGGTAAAGGTTGTCCCTTATGGTCTGCTGGAGTTCATGATCAGGAGACCCTTTCTGGAACCGCTGACTGAGAAAATGTCGCAGGTCTTTGGTGAGTCTTCCTCCTGTGGAAAAAACACAACACAGACAGGAGACATCAACAATGGGGCTTCCAGGAGATGGGCGGCCTGAGCAGGATATGTGCCAGAAAGCCACCCGCAGCAGCTCTGGGCCAGCCCTGTGTCCTCAGCAGGATGTGCTTCGGGATTCCCAATGCAGGGAAAAAGCAAAGAAAGGACATCACAAAGTGGGGGTCACAGGACCTGGGAAGCTAGAAGGCTTTCATCTAGGCTACTACATTTAAAATAGGTGACACTGACAGACACTATCAGTGGGGGAGTAAGTGGCTGAATCTCATGAAAGACAATCTAGCAAGAACTATCCAATTATGTATTATTCTTTCACCAGGGATTCAATTGGTAGGTATTTTCTCTGTGGATATACTTCGAAGTATATACTCAAATCTCCTGTAGTGGTAGGCAGATAACCCTCTGTAAGGCTCATCTTACTATTGACTGTAGCATTTTTGTGATAGCCAATTAAAAAACAAAGGTAAAAGATTGGAAACAAAAAGATCTACTCAGTGAAGCACAGCTTATCCATATGATAGGTATTCTGCATAAGGTATATTTTCATGGGCTGATATGAGAGGAAATACATACAATAGTCCATAATTTTGTTTTGTATAGTGGATTTTTAAAAGGAGAAGGGCTAGAGCTATCCAGTGGTAAATACCTATATCTACAAGGCACTGAGATCAATCCCCAGCACTAAATAAATAAAAAGGATCATTAAAAACTTTGAATATTGATCTCCATTAGAAAGACAGACTTGAACTGAGCAAATGATGGAGAACTTTTTCATTTTATAGATAGATAATACCTCTATATACATCTACCTATCATCTGGTATTTTTTAAGCACTAGATACATTTTGCTTTTTTATTGTTATTCTTATTTTTTAAGCCAGAGTAATCAGAGTGGGTCTATGTGTTGATTCCCTTACAACTCTCTGTATTTAACAGAACAAAATAGATAAAATAATCATATTGTTACAAAAATGTCTCCCAGAAAAGACACGTTTTTAAAATTCATAATCAAATTACAATCTACAGAATCAACAGAAGGCTTATATAGATCAACCTAGCTAGTGTTCACTAGCTGGAGAAAGATGCTTCAATGACATTTAAAAATGGTAACACTAAGACTGTTCTTCCATTTTTATCTTATCTAAGACAAAGTTTAGGTAAGAGCATTTTTAACGTTGGAGAAACAAGTAACAACCAAATAACCTTGTTAGACACAAAACTCACATCAACAGATGCTATCTTCTTCATCTTCAAAAAGTATCTACCATGAAGATAGTGACGGTTATGATGATATTTCGCAGCTAGCACAAGAAACTACTGATCTTCACTTCAATACCATGTTCAAACGACTCACAGCTGCTCAGTAATTTTGGCATAAACTAATGAAAACTCACTTGAAATATTTTTTAGTTGTATCACACCCAAAGTTTCAGTGAGACCATCTTAGGCTATTCAATTATTAAGTCTTGTATTTACTGAATTAAGAAGATAATGCCTCCCCATTTGCAGTGCAAACCCAGAATGAGCAAAACATTTAAATATAAAATTTAACAAAGGAATATACAGGACAGACTATTAAGTATATGAAAAGCTGTTAAATCTCATCAGGTATCAGAGAAACACAAAGTAAAACTATAATGAGATCCCATTACACATCAACCAGAAATAAAAATGACCAACAGTGTCAAGTTTTGGCAGGGCTGTGGAGCCTCCGCATTGTTATCCTGTCTAAGAAACAGTTCGTCCCCTTCGGAATAATTTGGCTTCATCTTATGATGTAAAGCCTTCACTAGCCAAGTAACCATCAATTTCATTCTTACTTCCATGAGGAAAATGAAACTATGCCTACAATATTACAGAAACAGACAGACCAGTCATGAGAAAAACAGCACTGAGAAGTTTAGGATGGAGTTTATTACATGGAGAGTTTCTGACTAGGATGTTTCTAGAAGGGTCTCCACCCATTGGGGCCTCAGGGCTCTTAATGAGAAAGCAAATAGGAGGTACAAAGGCAAACTCAGCACATGTGATTGGAGGGGAGGGTGACATCATGGGTTATACAGGGGAAGAATGTTCCGCTACATTTTAAAATGCACTACAAGGCCATCAGCACTAGCTGTAAAACGGCAGTAAAGACAGAGGTTATACAAAGCAACATTTGAAGTTACACTGTAAGGTCACCTGTTAGACAAGCTGACACCAAGAAAGGCATGTTCTGTTATCAGGTTTGTCCCGGACAGGTGTGCTTGGTCTTGGTGAGCATCCTGGCAGGCTTTTATTTAAAACTTTAAATTCTCTTCCATTTTCCACTCATTTAATAAAAAAAAAAAAATCATTTTCAGAGATGTTGGCACTTAAGACTGCATAAGAGGTATCAGACTTGAGAGTCATTTGGAGACTAATATTTTCTATTTGTTTTGTAATAAAGGAGGTGAGTCAATTTATCAAGTCAGGTCCTAGCAAGAGTATAAGAAGGCCTGTCAGTGGTGTTAACAGAGCTCCTATCCATGGCTCCCAATTTTTTGGGAGCTCTACCAATAGGAGCTCTGCCTTGGGCCCGCTGGTTGATTTTTCTCCCAATTGGCAGGCAGTCTAACAATACCAGACTTGTTAACATAATAGCAATCCTTTTTTTTTTTTTTTTTAAAGAACAGGCAGATGCCTTCCTCTGGGCAGTTTGGATCAGATGGCAGCTGAGTTAGAAGCTATTTGGGGACCCTCCATTGTCCAGGGCATAGTCTCATCTGGGGCAGAACCAGGCATTGGCACTGCATTTGCAGTAATCTTTCTCTTGGCATCATTCAGGGCAGGCATATTTGTTGCCGAATTGATATTCTTGTTTCCACTTTATACATCCACGCCCTGAGTAACAGGTATTCCAAACTGTGTTTTTGGTTTGCATAGGGCATCCACCAAAATAAAGACACACTCTGTGTTGAGAGGGGTTGAGAATGACTATCGGGTCAGAAACACGGGCTGAGTTGGGAATTTTTAGTGGCCTGAATCTACCTGGCAAGCATGGGAGGCAGCACCCTGAGCAGCAATGAGCAGAGGATAAAATGGTGCCGTTTCAAGCTTAGGAAAGGCGGTTCGGGGTGTGCAGTCCAACAATCACAACGAAGTAGAATATAATGAAAGTCACCATTTAGGGAACTTCTCGATCCTCTGAGGACCCAATCCGGAATCCTAGAGCAAATGCTAAGCCTATCAGGGAGGTGAACAGGAACCAAAGTGAGTAACGGTACAAGGGAGTTAATCAGGGCAATTGCTCCAGTGTTCAGTGTGTGTCCAGCTTAAGCCATGCATTGACCCATCAGCCTCCTTTTAACTTTTCCAGAGCTTTATGGTTTGTATGCTGTAGGTAGGTTTCATTTGAGTTTTAATTCTTTAGTCAGTTTCTGGGCTATTTCTGCCATAAATATAGGCCCATTATTGCCGCCCATGGTTGGGGACAGCCCATGTCTGGAGATGATTTCTCTTAGTAATACTCTACAGACTTTAGTGACTTTTTCTGTTCTGGTGGAAAATGCCTCTGGCCACCCAAAATAAATATAGTTAAGTAAAAGGCAGTATTTGTATCCCCTGCATGGTTTAACTTCTGTAAAGTCTATCTGTAGGCCTTTAGAAGGAAAAATTCTATCATGCTGAATACCGAATGGGATTTGTGTTCAGATGAGGGCTCCGTTCCTGCACAGATTTAGCATCTCTGACTAATGGAGACACAGATTGAGGCTACCATTGCAATATAACAGTACCAGCTTAGAAGCTGACTTATAGCAAGATTTCCTCCATGGGGGATGTCGTGATGGAGTTTTACCCCAGTGTAGGCCAAGTTTTGTGGAACTATCATTCTGGTCATCTGGTGGTGTCCAAGCTCCATTTAGGCCTCTTCCTGTTGTACACATGATTTTTTCCCTAGAGCAGCAGAGCAGCCTGCTGTAGAGACTGAGGATAGTTTTAGGGGGTGCTTTATGTTGGGCTTCTGGATTTTTTATTAAATCATTTGTCTCCCAGGTAGAGCCTACCACTGCCAATGTGGTAGCTTCACCTGCGCTGTGATTTACAATAGTGACAGTATCTTTACTTTTTGGTGCCCCTTGCAATGAATAACAGTGGCTTTCTTAGATTTCCAAATTGCAATCAGGAGTTGAGAAACCTCATCCTTGTTTTTGTTTCCCTTCTCCTGTGCAAAGTCCATGTTCCTTGTACAGCATTTGGTGGACATGAACAGTGGCAAAAGTGTATCGAATCTGTGTATATGTTTAGCTTTTTCCCAGTTGAAAGCTTGTGTTAGGGCCCACAGTTTATCCTGTTGAGCAGACACATCTTCAGGTAGAGGCCTAGCTAGGAGAACCTCTTTTGTAGTGTACATCATAGCTGGCTTGGCATTTTCCATCCCTGCCTGATCTACTTTCATTCATAAATAGGGTATTGTCAGCATTAGAAAAGGGTTCCACCCAGAAATGTGGCCAGCTAGCAAAGAGCTCATCAGTCAAGGTCAGACAGACATGGTCTGGAGGGCCAAGCACAGCAGGCAGGAAGGTGACTGGGTCTAGAAGCTTGACAGCTGAAAAGAGAGTCAGGGATTTCCAACAAGCAATCTGTGGTGTCGAGTGATGCAGCTGTTTGAGAACCAGTGGGGTCCCCAACGGTTTAGCATCCCTAAGACAGCACGTGGGACCTGGGCTGTTAGGTTTTGTCTCAAAGTCAGTTTGCTGGACCTCTCTGACCAAGACAATGGCAGCTGCCAGTGCCCTCGGGCAAGGAGGCAGGCCTTTGCCACAGGATCCAGGATCTTTGATAGCTAACCCATGGAGCAGGGGCCAACCCCTAAACAAGGATCCCCGAGGCTAATCATCTCCCTTCATCAACAAGCAGACTGAATGGTCTGGTCACATCAGGGATGCGCAAAGCTGGCACAGCAGAAAGTGTCCTTTTAAGGGTCTGGAAGGACTCGGCCTGTTCTCTAGTCCAGTT